AAAATTAATTATAAATATTACATTTAATGAGATTTAACATTTGCTTTAAGTTGACAAAACCTACATCACCTCTCTATCATGCAGCCATTGACATATGTCCTTTTTATTGTTTATTTTATGATAGTGATATATAAACAAATTTTTTTATACAACTTTTATTTATAACATTTATAATTGTATAAAAGTGGATATAAATGACACAAGTCCCAGTATGATGAAAATAGGTCAATTATTAAATGGCAGGTATGATTATATGAGCGTTTTATTAGAAAAAGTTAAGTCTTCCATTCATTTTACTTATTTTATAATTTATGCTGATGTGGCAACACATCTCTGTATTTTTTTTTTGATGTAACACATCTCTGTATTTTTGGTTAGTGGCGGAACCACATGGAGACTAGGGGGCGGTGGCCCCACCTAGGATTTGAAAATATAATTAATTAATTAATTAATTATTATCATTAAAATTTTAAATATTATATTTTTAATTATTAAAATACATAAAATAAAAAAGATCAAATAATAATGGGCTATTTGAATAATCCAAATATAATTTATATAATCAATTATTCATTTTAATAATTTAACTATTTATTATTATTTAAAACCCACCCATTTTAAGGTTCACAACTGAATTTTGTAGAAAAAAAAAAAAAAACCAATTCTTGTTTCTTTTATGTCTTTTTTTCAGTATCCAACCCCACTATATTGGTGTCAATCTTCTTCGACTAATCAACTTAAAAAAAAAAAAAAAAAAAAAGAGACTCCGCCAGCGGCTCGATGCAAGTCGCTGCAACACTGCTTTCTTCATTGAAAGCTTAAAGACAAATTAAAGGACCATCAAAAAGACCACTAATTTCTTTGTAGAGACTAAAAACAACAATATCTCTTTTTATATGAATCATATATTGTCATATTGGGTTTCAAATTTAAAGTTTTATAAGTTTTTTTTAATTTTATTTTAAAATTTTGTTTTATGCTTGTTAGTAAATATGTTTTAACAAAAAAATTAATATACTCTCTCTATCCCAAAATAATTGATATTTTTTATTTAGAATTTATCCTAGAATAATAGTTATTTTTTTTATTTTGAGGAAGATAAATAGTTTTTTTCTACTTTAACTCTATAATTATTTTTAACTTTAATTATTTATTTTCTAATGGGAGTATATATTTATTTTTAGTTGCTTTTTAAGTATAAAATAGGTAAAGATAAAAATTATTTTCAAATCTTTCATTTGAAGATAAAACAAAAAAAATTTATTATTCTAGTATGGAGGAAATAATATTTAAGTAATGAAACTTATTAATTTTTCATTAAAAAAATTATATAATTTTTTTTAGAATTTAGAGTTGTTGATATTATAAATAAAATTGAATATTATGGTAATATCGAAGTTAAATTGAAATTATATGAAATAAAATTGGATTGAAATAAAAAAATTAAAAAAAAAATACAAATCCATAAAAGGAATATATATATATATATGAATCCAATAAAAAAAAAAAAAACTTTAGATATAGTCAGGTAAACAAAAGCAATAAGAATATAAATTAGTATAAAAGGAAATATCTAACAAGTATCCTAAATTGAAAAAATGAGGGGAAGAGAGAGAGTGAGACAGACGGAAATGACGGGAGCGAGGACTCGATGTACGGCACAGAGTTGGGAGTTTGCAGGCAACCGGCGACCAAATCAGCGAACTTATGACAATGAAGCGAGAGGGAAGGGACAACGGAAGCATGTTCCATGGGGTTATGACAAAAGCACTTACAATCAGGCTACAACATACTTCTTTACCAATTTTCCTGAGGACTGGAACCACGCAGAGATGTGGGAAACTTTTAAGAGATTTGGCAGGGTTCTATCAATTTACAACCCACCACGCAGAGATAGATAAGGAAGAAGATTTGGGTTTGTCAGGTACCTAGATGTCATGAATGAAAGAGAATTGGAAAGACAGTTAGATCAAATCAGGATTAGGAACTGTAAGCTATGGGTGAACAAGGCAAGATTTAGCAAGGAAGAATCAAGGAAGAAGCCAATGCTGAATGTTAACACGGCGAAGGTCAAACCTGGAATGCTCTCATATGCTGATGCGCTAACAGGAACAAGAGGCACCAAATCCAAATCAGAAGCAGGACAGTCAACCAGAACAAGAGCTGGAAAAGAGAAAATCTGGAAGGAAATGAGAAGAGAAGATGGAACAGGGCTGGAGTTTAACACCAAAAAAGAGGACTGTGCCTGGATAGAGGGTTGTTATGTTGGAATTGTGCACTCAATAGAAGCAATACCAAGTTTGCAAGAAAAATTCTATTTAGAAGACCATTTCTCTATCTCAGTTAAACCAATGGGGGGCAAGATGGTACTACTTTACAGTAGTGACAAGGACGAGCTAAAAAATATCGTGGAGTTTAACGAGAAATGGTTGAACCAATGGTTCAAGGAGCTCCGATCGTGGAATCCAGGCATAATAGCAAATGAAAGGTTTGCATGGATGAGATGTCAGGGTGTGCCTCTTGAAGCATGGGGAGAAGATTTCTTTGCAACCATTGCTCATATATGGGGAAAGTTTATATGCTTAGATGACAGCACCAATGGAAAGGAAAGACTAGACATAGGAAGATTTCTAATTTCAACTCGTGCAATGGAAACAATCTCAAAGAAGCTTCAAATCAAGGTTGATGGCAGAATAGAAAACTTGAAGATCAATGAAGAAGAATCAGCCAATGGAATTTTTGGAATGAAAACAAACTTCATCCCTTGTTTTTCATCTGATTCAACGATGGATGATGAAGTATGGTCATTGGGGTGCTCTGATGAAATGATCATGGAAGATGTACCGCTTAAAGCCACACAGTACAATGTTCTGCCAAATGACAGCTTGCACAAAGAAGATGATGACGTGGCACGGAGGAACGAAGTAGGGGAAGAAACGTCTGTCAACTTTTATTTTGCCAAGGGAGATTTGTGTCAGTTTGAAGATTTGAATTCAAATAGCACCACACAACAACAGACTAGAAGCACAAGCAAAGAGCCAGATACATGAGAAAGAGTGGCGGAGAGCATAATTAAGCTATAGCAGCCGCCAACATTAATTACAAGAGTAGGGGAGAAGATTTCAAACAAGGAAGTTAACAAGGATAGAGAAAGTATACAATCCAACAAGGCACATGGGCTTCTTGACAACGATTTGGGCCTCTTGGGTATTGCAAACAGACCAGATAAACCCAAAAGCCCAAAAATTAGAAGGGAAATTATTGATGACCATCCAACAACAATGACTCTGGAGAAAGACAGAAGAAGAATCTGGAAGAAAGGCAATCTTGGGGCTTTCACCTGAATCTGACAAGGGAGGGGGGAAGCTAACCATGTGCAACTGAACTCAAAAGAAATGGAGAACGAAATAGGAAAGCTTGAAGACCAGATGGACAAGGACCTCGGCAGGAGCTCAAAAATTAAAAGAACCAAGAAAGCACGTTCATGTGCATCAGTGTACAGAGCAACCTCAATCATAAGCTTGGCATTTGGAAAGAAAGGGAAGAACAGGAGGAACCAAAGAAATCCAGGCCAGATGAGAATTGTTCCAACCTTCCATGCCAACAAAGACAATAGTGTAGCAGGACAATCAATTAGAGACAGCGGCATCGCTAACTGCAACAGAGACAGATCGACGCAAGTCGCACCAGACGAGGCATTGAGAACCTAGGAATTTGCCAAGAATATAGGGGTTGTGGCTGCGGGAAATGAACAGGAGATACTGCAACAGTTAGAGAAGATGGAGCAGTGAGACAAAGAAGGATGGAAATCAGTTTCAATCAAGGAATTGACATGCAGGAAGGAAGGTACACAAAATCCCCAATGATTTTATTATCTTTCAATGTTAGAGGGTTGGGGGGTTGGAAAAAAGAGAGAGTTGAGAGAATTGTTAGCAAAGGAGAACGTAGAATTTGTGGCAATCCAAGAGTCAAAACTGGAGGACGTAGATAGAAGATTATGTAAGGGTATTTGGGGATTTGAGAACATGGATTGGGCGGCAAAGCCTTCTGTAAGGCAATCAGGTGGGCTGATCAGTATGTGGAATTCTGATATTTTCAAAAAGTACAGAATATTTGAAGGAAATGGATTTTTAGGAGTGTCTGAATTTTGGGGATTAGAAGGAACACCTGTGAAAATTGTGAATGTCTATGCTCCATGTGAATTACAGGGACAAAGGAAACTGTGGGGAGAGTTAAAAAATCTAATTCAAGGGCTGGGAGGGAATTGGTGTGTGATGGGTGATTTTAATGCAGTAAGGAGCAACCAGGAATTTACAGGCAACAAAAGACATCAGGGAGAGATGAGAGAATTTGATGAATTTATTGCAGAGACAGAATTACAAGACTTGCCACTAATTGGTAAGAAATATACCTGCTATCATTCCAATGGGAGCTCAATGAGTAGAATCGAGAGATTTCTTTTATCAAAGGAGTGGTTGATAAACTGAGGTGATGTTAAACAATGGGGATTAAAAAGATCTCTATCTGATCACTGCCTTATTTTGTTGAAAGAAGAGAAAATGGATTGGGGCCCCAAACCTTTTAAGGTGTTTGATTCCTGGTTTGACTACCCAGAATTTAAAGAATCAGTAGCAGCAACATGGAACTCATCAATAGTGCAAGGGAAGAAGGGCTTTGTTCTAAAAGAAAAGCTGAAGAAACTCAAAGCTTTTCTAAAGAATTGGAGCAAAAATTTGATGCCAGAAGTGGAGAACAAAACAAACACGGCAAAGGAGAATATAGAGAAAATAGATGTAACAGGGGAATCACGTAATTTGTCAGAACTGGAGAAAGAACAGAGAAAGAATAGCTTTCTGGAACTATGGGACACTTTGAAGATGAAGGAAAGGATGTTGCGATAGAAGGCTAGGAAGGAATGGATTAAAGATGGAGATGCAAACACACGTTTCTTCCACAAATGCATTAAAGGGAGATGGAGGAGAAATGAGATTAATAGCATCATGATTAATGGAAAAAATGTCCAAGGAGTAAAGGAAGTTAAAGAAGAAGTTGCTGCATATTTTGAGAAGATGTTCCAAGAGGAAGCTTGGGACTGATCTACTCTTGAAGGACTTAATTTCAACCAACTATCCACCGAGTAGGATGCTTCATTGATAGCAACATTTGAAGGAAGACGAAGTTCGTAGAGTGGCTTGGGATTGTGAAAGCTCTAAAGCACTAGGTCTTAATGGCTTCAATTTCAACTTTATCAAGAAGATGTGGGATGTGCTTAAAGAGGATATTATGAATTTTGTTCATGAATTCCACCAATATGGAAGATTAAGTAAAGGGCTCAATACTTCATTCATTGTGCTCATGCCAAAGACAGAGAATCCACAAAAAATTGAAGAGTTCCGGCCAATTTCTCTTATCCATTCCATGCATAAAATAATTGCCAAGTTGTTGGCAAATAGACTCAAAAGAGTAATGGATGGCCTTATAGGAGAACAACAAATGGCATTATTGAGTAGAAGGCAACTGTGTGAGGGGGTGGTGATTGCAAATGAGGTCCTTGACAAAGCAAAAAGAGAAAATTGAAGACATTCGCCTTTAAGGTTGATTTTGAAAAGGCATACGATAAGGTATCATGGAATTTCTTAGAACTTATGATGGAAAAAATGGGGTTTAATGACAAAGGAGGAGCTGGATTCTTGAATGCCTTGGATCTTGCTCGGTTTCAGTCTTAGTCAATGGGAGTGCCACAAGGCAATTTGTAGTACACCGCGGACTTTGACAAGGAGATCCTCTCTCCCAATTCTTATTTCTACTTGTGGCAGAAGGGCTAAATAAATTGATCAAGCAGTAGTCTCCCAACAACTTCTTGAAGGTGTTAAAATGGGGAACGATGAATTATCCATCTCTCATATATAGTTTGCTGATGACATTATCCTTTTTGGTCAAGCAACAGAAGGAAATGTGAGGGCAGTTAAAGGTATTATGAGAGCTTTTGAGCTTGTCTCTGGACTAAAAGTTAACTATGGGAAGAGTATGCTGGTTGGGATCAATGTTTGTGATGAATGGCTTTCTAAAATAGCTTGCATCCTTAACTGTAAAGTGGGAGAGATTCCTTTCAAATATTTTGGGGTTCCAGTTGAAGGTAACCCAAGGAAGCTTATCCTATGGAAACCGTTAGTTGAGTCTTTTAGAAAAAAAACTATCTGCATGGAAAGGTCGTTATTTATCACTTGGTGGCCACATAACTCTTATCAATTCTGTGCTGTCCAGTCTTCCAATGTTCCTTATGTCCATTTATCTACTTCCAAAAGGTATCATTCAAATTATTGACAAAATTAGGAGGAATTTTTGGTGGGGAGGTTGTGAAGAGGATATAAAGATTAATTGGGTTAGATGGGAAAGAATTTGCACCAGCAAGTATAAGGGGGGCTTGGGCATAAAAGATTTGAGAAAATTCAGTATGGCTCTGTTAGGTAAATGGTGGGATAGAATTGCAAATGGGGAGGACAGTTTATGGAATAAGATTATAAAAGAGAAATATGGGAAACACGGGGGGAATTGGATTAGTTGGTTAAAGGAAGGGAGAAGGGCTGGTTCGATTTGGTGCAGGGATGTTTGTAACCTAAATTATTTAGAAATAGATAGTTTGGGTTGGTTGGAAGAGAGCTACAAAGGTCCAATAGGTATAGGGAATGATGTGCAATTTTGGGTAGACAAATGGATAGATAGGGTGTCGCTTGCTGACAAATTTTCTAGGCTATTTTTGTTATCAACATGCAAGGAAGCAACTATAAATTAGATGGGAAATTGGAGCAATGGCACTTGGTCCTGGACATTAGGTTGGGGAAGGGACTTACTATCGAGAGAGGCAGAGAAGGTGCAAGAGTTAGAGGAACTGTTGTCGTCATCAACAATCATACAAGGGAGAGCAGACACATGGGTTTGGAGACATGGCAAGGATGGCAAATGCTCAACAAAAATGGGGTATGCGATCCTCAAACAATCCGCAATGATGGATGATGAATTCTTCAAGACAATAGGGAATTCCATTGTGCCAAGTAAAACAAAAGCTTTCCTATGGCAATTATTCTTAGGTAGAATCCCAACAAAATTAAATTTATGGAAAAGAGGTATTATAGAAAATATTGACTAGTGTTTGTGTGGCATTTGTGAGCAAAATGTGAAAAACTCCAGCCACCTTTTTTTTTTCCATTGTGATATTAGCTATGCTCTATGGTTGAAATGTTTGCCTTAGTGGGGAATCACGTCAACCATTCCATTGAATTGTAGCATGGCCTTGGATATACTTTGCAATTTAGTGGGTTCAAAGGGGATGAGTGTAGGGTGGAGAACTGTTTGTATAGCTTCAATTTGGTCTATTTGGCTAGAACGAAACGCAAGGATATTTAAAATAAGTCAGATGGATGTGGAAAGGCTCTTCGAATTGGTGCAATTGAGATCATTTCACTGGATCAAAGGAATGTGAGAAGGGTGTTGCTTTACCTTTTTTCAATGGTCCTATGAACCAAGGCTATGCATGCCAGCAACTAAAAGGAAATAAAAAGAGAGATAGTTACAGGAGTGGGAATATTTCATTGTAGACTTGATTCTCATGGCACCGTAAAATTGACCAATCAACTTCTAATATTTTCTTTTGTATAAGGGTTTGAGTATCCCTTGTACTTAAATTAATAATATTGCTGTTAAAAAAAATAGTATAAAAGGAAAATAAACTCTTATAAAGTGTAATTAGCTTGTAAAAAGGGGAAAAAAATATGTTTGCTTATAGAAATTGTAGGGTGAAGAGATAGGATGTTGTCGTATTTTTGAATTATGTCAATGGCTTGTGGAAACAAAAAAATCCGAGATTTATAGTCTCATTTACAAGTTAATTACTTTGATATTTACTCTTCTAGTTTCTATAGCAATAATAGAAAAAGTATTTTCTACCATGAAAATTGTAAAGTATTTTCTACTATGAAAATTGTGAAAACGAGATTTTGCAGCAAAATGGAGGATGAATCTCTTTCAAACTCTTTGATTGTTTATATTGAAAAGGAAATAGTTCAATCATTTAGTGTAAACAATATTATAAATAAATTTTATGACATAAAAACTCGTCAAGTATTATTTTAATATATGATATGAAAGTAAGTTTTTAAAATTATAATACATTATTTTAAAACCTTGAAAAGCCGACCTCCCTTGGCTAAAATTCTTGACTCTGCCCCTATTTTTGGTGATGTGGTTCTGGGAATGGGTCCTCCTGCATATTAGACACCAAAAAACAAGAGGAAAAGACTTCAAATATACGTAACATGTCACTCAAAATATCAATATGTAAAAGCATTTTCTCAATTTTTCATTTTCATAGCATATATACAAATATTTTTTTGGGTAAACAGCATGAATTTTGTTTCTCCAGTATTTTCATTATTATTTTCAAGAACCCCAATTTGTATATTTTCAAACAGTCCTGGTTTGATCGTTATGAATAAATCAATTCAATATTTATCAATACAAAATAAATATTAATGTGAATTACAAAAACTTTCAAAGATTTATCTATGAAACTCAAATATGGGGTCCATGATTCCATCGTTATGAGATTATATAGCTGAAAATGAAAAGCTTTCT